TTCTGTTGTTTTCATTTGTAAATAAAGTTGCGTCAAACAAATTGATTGCAATATTTTCCCTTCAACAAGTCAAAAAATTACAACTTTCGTTTACATAAAAAAAATTCAACGGTTGCATACATTTAGGATGATGTAAAAAAAAAATGAAATAGGCTTAATATATTAACATAATGCTTAAATTTAAGGGTTGATTGCTCGAGTTGAAAAAAATAATTATATATTTTAATGGCATGTCATTTACGGTTAAAATACAATGAGCCGAAAATTCGAATTTTACAAATTTCGTGAAACAATAACTTGAGAGTCTTGATGGAGGTGGGAAAAAATTTTCTTCTAACAAAGCGAAATTTATTAGTGTTCAAAAATTGCTAAAATTTCACACTCCTACAATCTGAGTTCTAGAAGAAAAATGTTATCAAAAATTTTGAAAAAAGGGATTTTAGATAACGGTAAATTTTAACGGCCATTTTTTTTTTTTTTTTGAAGTTCAAATATGGTATGACGCGGTAGAACAAGACAGCCACTACTTTTCTGCGTTTGCAATATTTAAAAAATTCTTATGTTTTACAATTCTCTTCTTATTTCTTCTTTCTTATGTTCTTCTACAATGAATGGTTAAAAATGGCATTTTTAGGACTTTGAAAGGCTATAACTTTTAGAGGGGTGAGGAGGAAGATAGGCGAAAATTTTCTTCCATGGAAATAAGTTTCTTGTAAAGACATATGTACATATGAAATTTCGTCTGTTTATCTTGAAGGGAGTAGAAATTTTGTAAGTATGTCCACGGACGGGCAAATTGAAACTAATAAGCACTTTTTTAGAAAAGTGCTAAAACAGGATTGTTCCGTTTCTTTTAACTTATTTTTGAGTACGTTAAATTATGAATAAATTGGCGGCACTTATAACAACTGCTTTCTTTATATTAACACACATGAAATTTTAAATACTTGATTATAATTGACGCTCGAATTAAAATCGTAGGATAATTCTATTGCTTAAATGAAACGCAATACCGAGTTAATCGTAAGAAGAATTTGTTAGTTAAGGAGAGAAAAAAAAAATTCCGATCAAAAACACAAAGAAAATTGTGACACCATACGTACCAAAAGTTTAAACGTACAAAAAATTTCTAATAAAAAATATTGGTTACATTTTAACAAAATTTGGTCACTGCGTCTCACTTACATAGTTTCATAACTATTTCTATCTCACTTACATAGCGTCTCATTCACATAGTTTCATAAAAATTCAGAATCGATTTAACAAGTTGGGTTGCCCCTGGGACTCCAGATTTTAATTACTTTTTAATCTCTTAACTTTTTTCATTTAATAATCCTATAAAAAAAATAATTCAATTTGTAAAATTTCGAACTAATTTTTTTATTAGAATTTTAATTTTTTTAAATCGTTAATTGACATGAACTCCAATATTTTTATTTCCATTAAGTCTACAATATAGAATGCGAAAAAACAAGCTGAAATTGAATACCATTTCGATATGAATTTCCTTTTGAATAATATTTTCAATTTTATATAATTATTCACATAAATTTGTTTACAATCGTATCAGTGGAATTTTTTTGTCATTGGAAGTGTATTTTTCTTTTTTTTTTTTTGTTTCAATTTTTGTTTTTTATTACAATATCGTTTTTTGAACTCGCATTTTTCGTAAAAGAATTACGAACAACAAAATTCTCTTTCCCCCAGCATTTTACACTTCCATATATTTTCAGCTAGCTACATTATAAATTGCTCATTCTTATTACTCATACATGACAATTTTCATATATTGAACCGATAAAAATTAAAACCGATTAAATAAATTTTTTCAATATTCAATGTTTTTTCTTTTCTTGGAATTTCTCAACAGTTTTTTTTTGTTTTTGATTAAATGTCTGCGTTAATAGTTTGAAGCTGTAGTTAACCATAGAATAATTTACCTACATCTACACCCTTTTGTATGAAGTTTACCTACATCTACACCCTTTTAGAAATTAAACTGTAAAATTTTCTTCGCTTCACATTCACTTAAAACAAGATTTCTTCACTTAAAACAAGATGTCAATTTGGCTATAAAATATTTTCATTAACTAGGAGTTTCGAATTTCCGGAACATTTCAGTATTTTAGTGTTCACTGTTCCCGTTTTGCGAATATTTAATTCATTTATCATTTCCTGGATTTAATCGCTTTGATAAATCGGTGCCACTATTGAAGTCTCTTAAAGTTTAGTATTTTAAAAAAAAAAGTTGGAATTGATTTTTTTTTTGTTTTTCCTTTTTATTTAAAATATGCATAACCATGAGACAGAAGGAAATATTTTCCATTTATTTCAGTTGACTTTATAATATTGAAATATGTGTGATATTGTACAAAATGAAATGACTTAAAGTGCGAATAAATTAAATTCAAAAAGCCGATATAAAAAAATTTTACTCTTTGATTTAATTTTCAATTATTTTACAAAAATATAAGTTGGACTCAGTCTCAATTGTTATGATTATTATATGAAATCTGAGTGTATAAAAATATATACATGTCTACTGCATTTAAATTTACTAAACATAAACATAAAAGCAGATAAGTTTAAATATTTTATGTCTCATATTTCAGCTTACGCAATGTACGTTATAAATTCCATATTTTTATATTTAGTCCATCGCTAAATAATTCCAAAATACAAAAATGTTATTTTCTTCGGGTTTTTGTAAGCGAAATTTTGAAACTCACTTTGTAAATTTCACTTGGATAAACTTTCGACATATGTATAGGCTTTTGACGAGATCAAATTAGTTTTAGTTTAATATTTTCTTTCGATAATTTTGCATTAACTAACATTAATTAATTCAGATTATATTGGAAAATGTTAAATTTTACGCAGAGCCAAACTTCAGGCCATAATAGTAGATTCAGGAAAGTAAAGAAGTTAATGATTACTAATTAAATTTTCCTTTTTGATAAATTTAATATAATCTAATTCAATATATTCAGCAAACTTTTGGAAAAATTACAAGAACCTGCAGTCTCCTCTTAACAATCATTTGTCGAATTCAATTAATATTGATTAATATTGAACCTACAAAATTGCTTTATAACATTTGAATGTACAACTTACAATTTCTCCTTTTGTACAGTTTTTAGTGACAAGATGCGAATTTTAACACAAATCTCGTTAAATGACACAAATGAAAATTGACATATTAAAATTATTCGGTTACTAAATTATGACTTTCAAATGTAGTTTATATAGATCTAATTAAGCAGAACTAACAACTAACAATGTATAAGCTAGTGAAGTTTAACAGAAGTCAACTTGTTTTATTTTTGATATACATGTGTGTCTCGCTTCACTATTGCTGAGCGAACTTTAATAAAACAATAAAATTCACGTTTTACATTGTTTAATTTGGAATGACAAATTTAAAAAAACTAAAGCTGAATTGAAACCGATTTTGCTTTTTAATTATTTATTGTTAGTTCTACAGGGGTTCACAGTTAATACATTTTGTTTCTACACAAACTGCGTAGTTCAATAAGCTTCGACAATATTATTATTTATTTAAAATATAATAATGTACGTTATACGACAACAAAAATATTTAATTATTAAGCATGCAATGAAATTTGTGTATTAATCACATTTCTCTATATATTTCTCTATAATATTGTCTCAAGGGTAAGAACATTTAATTTTTGGGATTTTCCCACTAATTATGATTTTTTGTATTTTAAACTGGGCACGAATGAAATACGCGAATCACCAAATTTATTATTAATTTTATTTACGTAAATAAATATTCTGTTTCTGTCACAGTATCTGAAAATAAATAAAATTTTACGGATGTTTACATACGGGCATACATTATGCATTGAATATTTTAGTATAGTTGTTTAATAATACAGATGGGGTTTTAGTAATTTATACTTAAAAAAAAAAAATTAAAAAAATAAATGCAAAAAAATAATTATTGGAAAAGGTGGTGCTTTAATACCGTTTCATTAGAATCATAATTGGCGAAATTCTAGTAAAAACTTATGAAAAATGTTTGTTTTACAAAAATAAATAAAATATTTTTAAGAACAAGAGTTTAAACAACTATCAAATAAGAGAAACGCTTTCAACTAACAAAATCTGTAGGAACAATATCGAATCGCGATAAAAATCCTCTTATTTAAAGAAAAAAGCAATTTTTGAGAAGTGTCGCGATAATTTTGGGCTCATTTATAGGTTCATCAATAACAAATATTTAAACTAATTTTACCTGCCTTTGATACATTTTGATGAAAATTTTATTTTTTGCAGAACGTTAAGTAGAAATTTAATTTTTCCCAAATTTGAACCTTCGTGTTTTGGAAAATTTCCTCAGAATTCTATTATCGTAAACAAGAAGAGATAAGTGGGCAAAGAGGTTAACTTTCATTTGCATACTGACACTTGTTTTCATTAAAAAATTGTAAAAATATTATTTTTTTTTGATATTTAACTCCTATGTACACTGACATAGGAATAACTCCTATAAAAATCTCGCCTTCTATTAAGTTTCTAGCTATAAAAGTAATCATAGTTGAAAATATATGAAATTTAATGATGTTCTATCCGAGCAACTCGATTTTCGTCAAAATGTTAGTTAACCCCTTTGTCAACTTACCTCTTCAATTCTTTCCTTTTTAGCTAACTGGACAAGCATATTATCGTGTGCTGGTTCTTAAAACCAACTTAAAAACTTGTATTTAAAATTCTACGAGAAAAAGTACAAAAAATGCCCTTTCACTTTAGGTGATACTTTAAGAAGCAACCCTTGGAGTTGTGCTTGCAATCCTTATAGTTGTACTGAAACTATTTTGCAGAAATGTAAGCAGTTATTAAATTCTGAATTTTTTTTTAATTTATGCAATAATTTTTTTTTTAACGTTTAAAGTTTCTATATTACATAACTAATTTTTGATTCATTTTGTTTATTTAAATTGAAAATTAATTCACTCTCTTTTCTTTTATTTCAGGTAAGTTTCATCAATTTCCATACAAATTTTAGATATATTTGGCCAAGTAAGTGTCATTTTTCAATTAATATTAAATCTGTAAAAGTTAACATAGTTCAATGCAAATATGCAAACACTTCTAAAATTTTGCATGTTAAAAGTTTGCACTAAAACGTGTTACTTGTACTTACTTAAGATTTACCGAGTATGGTGGAACTGACTCTCCATTATACGCGAATACTTTTAGTATATTTGAAAATTTAAATTCCAGTTTTTTATGATTTTAAAAAAATCTTTAAATCAGAAACAAAAAAAATACTCATCTCGAACCTTAATATCTAATACAAAAAATTAAAAATTTATTTTTCAAAGTTTCACTAAGTTTTTGCCTTCTTAAATACTTTTATATTTGAACTTTTTGATTGCTAAAGCATAATTTTAACATAAAAAATTTTAAATTACATTAAATTTTATCTCCTTATATAGAAAATCTGCTAATTACTTACATTCTCATTATGTTATAACAATTTGTATACATACATGTGCAATTGATCCAACCTACAGTTGAATTTTCACACATTGTAATACAAATTAAAAATTTCGTTTCAATAAAAATACGAAAGTAAAATAAAAAATCCTTTTAAATATCGCGTAAACTTACCTTCACAAATATCAAATTTTCCACAAACAAGAGTAAAGTAAAAAAAAAAGGTAATCTTTATTTTGTAAAATAAAAATCCTTTATAAAAGTTTTAAAATAAAAATTTACTAAAATATATGAACTGGTCCGTTTTGTCACCTGAAAAGCTATAAAAAAAACTGCCCAATCAATCAATAACAAAAATAAAATTTTAAAATTAAGTTGATAAGTTTCCTACTTTGACTATTTTCTTGTTGAATGTATATAACAAAATTAGTTGCAGTTGGTCCAAAATATAAGATCCAACAATGTAAAATTGTTCTTTCCTCTTCCTTAACAGAAGTGTTTCAAATTTCATGAACTATATGAGCCCCATAATATTATTGCTTCCAATACAATGGGTGCTTTTAGGAAGCGTATTGTATTATGGCTTTGAAAGTAAAAAGTTATATTTGTCATTTATGAATTCATCAGTTTTAGGACAAAAATGAAACTCTGTTCCATACAAGAAAATGAAAATTTTTGGAAAATACAAATTCATAGAGATGATTTACTAAATTATGGCCTGCTGAATTTTATAAATTGTTCGAATTCTTTAAGTGGAATAAACCTTGAGCAAATGCTATGAGAGTCCTTACCTTCAAAATATAATGATTACACGTCATTACGAAAATAAATTTGTTTTTACGAGCACTAAAATTTACAATCTATTTTTTAATTTGGGCTGAACTGAAATCCTCCCATTCTGTATTTCGTTTTTTCATAATACAACAAAACCTGAAATTCCAATAATACACACAAATAAACCATCATAAATCTGTACAATATAAGTATAAAATGTAATTATAGAAATAAGAATTAATAAAAGGATAACATAAAAGTTTGCAACAAAGTTGTATTGACATAACTTTGGAAAATGTTGCAAATATTTTATTGTTTATTTCTTATTTTTTTTTTCGTTCCTTTATTAAATAACTGTAAAATAACGGAAAAACGTAAAAATATTACTGTTGTGAATGGAAATAACGATGGCTAAAATGATAATAAAAATGGAATTCTTTACACGAAATCATTGAGATTTTTTCCAAAGTGAAATTTTCCTTTTTTTTTCTTTTGCTTTGTTCATTTCTCTTTTTATTTACGATATGCTTTGAAACGCAATAGTAAAGTAAAATAACTGTTTTTTATATATATATTATTTTTACTTTTTTACTTCAATTACATAGTTTTACTTTTATAGAAATGAGCGATTTAAAAAGTATAAGAAAATATTTTAATAAAAAAGTTCCTTGTATTTTAGGAAAATAATATTGAAAAATTATAAATTATTAGAAATCAATAGCACAATTAAATCGAAAATTGAAATTTGTTAGCTTGCATTTTCAAATTTTCAAGATATAAAAAAAATCATGTATTTCTAACTTTTGTTTTCAATATTTTAAATGACTCATGTTCATTGAGTAATATGCTCGAGAAATACGACCTGAACAATTTAACTTGATGTTTAAAATTTAAATTTAGTCTTTCATTAGTAAATTAAATAAAAATACATATTAAACACTCTACCATGTAAAAATGAGTCCACCTTGCATTTATTTATGAAACTGCTAGAAACGTTATAGAAACCTACAATTTTGATACACAAATAGATCTTTGTAAAAAATCCTTTTTGTCTAGAAAAAAATTTTCATTTACCTTCATTTAGTACACAAATTTTGAAAATGAAATATTTTTTTAATAATATCCTCAAGTCACACACCAAAACTAAAAGCCCTTCGAAACCATAGGCACTTTAAATTCCACAAAAGTAAGAAAATATGTCAAACTGGCCGCTGCTGTGGTTGTAGTTATCTTGAACTCGTTTTATATTCTTGGACGTCAAGCTATAATTTCAAAATTAACCACATTTTAAATTTTGACAAGTCCTTTGAAACTATTACTTAATTAATATTTCCATGGGCAAAAAGTAATGTAATTAAATCGATTTCATTATCTTGTACACAAAAACATTAAAAATCTGACCAAGTTCATTAGTATTTTATAGCTTGAAAATTTACATGATGAAATAAAAAAAAATAAAAAGGCGAACTTTTTTGCCGGAATAATATTTCATCTGACAAGATTGTACCAAATGGTAAAGTGAAAGAATTTTTTTGCAGCATCAAAGGTTTTACTATCACTTTTCCTTTTCTTTGATCGTGCCCCCACAAGACTATAAAATTAAATAGATTTTATGAATAACACGAACCAAAAAATTTAAAAAATTTACGAATAATTTTAAAAATTTTACAGTTTAAACTTTAAAATATTTTCGTTTTATTCGTCAAAGTAAATTGCTAAGATTTCCTGAACTTCAATTATAGAAAACTCAATTGATGCATTGAGACAAAGCTCTAATATTATTAAAACAAAATAATTTCCTATAATTATAAAGAATTTTAAAAAATCAGATGAAAATTTGTCAAGCGCTTTTTTTTGGTTTTGTCCAAATTATAACGAAAAATCGATTTCCGTTAGATTTTAATTGTTGTAAATTTTTTTTTAATTTTTGATTAATCTTACTAATTAAAAGCAAACCTTATTACAAAAAAAAATGATGTTATTTTTTCTTAACCAAAAATTTAAAATACATGCATGTTTGTAGTTTAGGATAAAGAAATCTAAGGTATTTAAGTATCTTTTATGAGCTTTTATTCCCTAAACAAATTTTCAAATTTCATCTGTTGTTCAGTTTTATTATGTCGTATGGTATTCTTCATTAATTTGAAAATAATTTTATATGTATAATAAGCTAAAATACAATTTACATATTACATACGTGCCCCCATAACTAAAGGCACATATTATTTATTTATAAACGTTTATATATAAGTAGGATGTATACATTTTGGTATATATGAAAAATTAAATAGATGTTTCTTTGGCAAACATTGATATATGCATTCACATATTCACAAGCAGAGAAACATTTGAATCGACTCGACATACTCGTACTTATAATAACATTAATAATATTTGTATAAGAAACCGTTATAATTCTTATGTATTATGTAAATGAGGTTGTTTTTTTTATTCTTTTTCTCCACTACCCCTTCACGAGAAAGTGCTCATAGGATTGGTATAAAAATTTCCAAACTCTGAATATTTAAAATTCCATTTAGAAAATAACCTCGCTCTCTATAAAATGTTTTATAACAAAAATTATGTAATTGTATTTTCTTTTGTGTATGTGTATAATTTTTACACAACTACATTTGAATTTTAAACCGATTTATAAAAAAGCTTTATATGAAATATATACATATACATACGCACATATATATATATATATATATATAAATATATATATTCTATACACATGCACATCCATATATATATATATATATATATGGATGTGCATGTGTATAGAATGCGAAGATATTTTAAGAGAGCCGTAATCTAATAAAAACTAAATTGAGTCACAGGGAGAATCAAAAAGAGCATAAAAGAAATAACGGGCCGGTTAAGTAGCAAGCAACAAAAAACTATTAGGAAAATGTAATAAGCAATTACAAAAACTGAGAGCGAAAAATGTGGTGTCTAATGAAACCTTAATTTTTGTTATATCGAGTTGATATAATATGTATGTACATACAGTACATACATATATGAGTCCAAATATTTAGCTTTATAAAAATAAAACTTCATCAAATTAATCCTTTTTCGAAAAATAAAAAAAAAAACTTTTCTACTCTATGCACTAAAGTAAAAAAGAATTTGAACAGTTGTCAATTTCAGTTTTTGTTAATCAAATAAGTGAGCATTTTTGAGAAAAGTTTGGGTAATTTTTTTTTTTAAATTTCTCTAATTGTGAACTCTGTTTGCCTTCAATCAACTTAGACTGTTATCAAACACGATTTCTAAATTTTTAATCACAAAATTTTAAAATATTTGATTTTGACATATTAAAGCTAACATTATCCCCTGTCTAGGTTTTTGAAACTCTAATATATTATGAAATTATTTTTTGCCAAATATCGCAACATTTTTTTTTTTTACTCCTACTCAATTTGTTGACTTACAAATTTTCACAACAAATATATTTTCGGTCTAATACTCTTTTCGTACAAATACACTTCCAGTATTATAAAAAAAGAATTTGATTTAAAGGCATCTAATATTTATATGTAAAAATGCTACAACTGTAAATAGTGCAACTAGTTTTCACTTATAGAGGAAGGAAAAAAGTTTTACTTATTAAAAGTTCTTGTCATTAAATTGTAGAACCACAAAAGTAGTTTCACTAACCGAGAAATCCTTTTTATTCACTCACAGCTGTAAGCAAAAATTTAAAAAAAAAAATTATTCCGTCTTAAACTTTTTCACAGCACTGTATGAAACATACCTGTACATTCTCAAATATTGTATCTGTATATAAAGATGTGTGTTTCATGAGCACACATTAGTACATAGCCATTATAGGGATAAATGCTTATTATATAAATTCAATTGTGTTATATGTATTCAAGAATCTTATATATTTGTTTATTATATATATTTATATATATGTATATATACAGGAGTACGAGTACACAATTTGTTATATTATAAAGAATTTGAATTAAGTTAAAATATTTAGGACATCAACAAGGATAGTCAAAGGCATATGCAA